CGGCATAGAAATGTTATAATAATAATAATAATAATAATAATAATAATAATAATTAATAATAGTAAACTGTGACCTTGCCCTTTAAAAATTAGTTCACAACAGATTAATGCAGATTAATATTAAAAATAATTGCACGCTCTTTAAAAAGCACAAGATTGCACTTTTTCTAATATGCATCCTAAATTGTTTGTTGGAATGGTAGAGGTGTTGCAAACTGTCAGGAAGGGCCTGAGAAGAGCTGTTTGTCCGGGCTCATGGATGCTGGCCGAAAATGGAATGGAGATTCCAGCACCATGGAGATGCCAGAATGTTGTGGATGACAGGAAACACACAGAACCTTTTGGAAGGGATTCTTTAAGAATAGATGGCACTAGAGCTTTTTAAAATAACTGATATCATGTAGAACGGAGCATGCTTTTTTATTAGAAGTTCTTAAAATCTCTGTAAAAGCATCAACTGAAAAAGAAAGCTGTATTGGGAACTCCTTGCAAACTTCTCAAACTGTGCAGTTAAAGAGCGAAGAGACATGGCAGGTAAAGCAATTCAGGCAGTTGCTTTGGGACGATTCCTGGCTATGCATCCCTTCCTAGGACCTCTCCCTGCCTTTTTGGGGCTGGGAGAAAACCGTCTTAATACTATGCCATCTTTTTCATAGTTTTGACCATGGCACCATTTGAAGTCCCTGCTCTCCTGCAGATAATACATGACCTCTTCCCTCAGATGAGCTGCACAAGAGAAATGAAATCATCGCCACCATGACCAGAAGGTTAAAGCTCCTTGAGACTCAGCAGAGTGACCGCAAGATGACCCTTGAGAATACACAGCAGAAACTGCAAGAGCTGTCGCGGAAGGCTTCTGAGACCTCGCATCACTGCCAGGCCCTTGAGGTAGGTCTCAGTTCTGGGCCGTGAGCCTCCACGTGTGCCGCTTGCTGGAGGACTGGGGCTGGATAGGGCCCTGGCTGCCTTGTCCCTCATGGCGTCTTCCTGGACAGACGGGGGGGGAGGATGCGCCCTTGCACTGATCCAGCACGGTTCTTCTGAAGCCAACCAAAGGCCAGAACAGAGAGAATGCAGCCAGGGGTGCTGGGAGAGGGGAGGCAGGTTCCCTCGTCTCGGTGCTTCCACCTCCTGCTCCTCACCATTGCTGCCCCTGCCCCTCAAAAATTACGCTGTGGAGCTGGCAAGCGGGCATCGAAGGGTGGACCACACTGGTCAAGGGGCTGCAGAAACACGAGAAAAAGTTGCACATTGGTGGAGCAAGAGTGGGCAGAAAGTCTATCTGATGATGCCTGGAACTTCAGCTCCCAGCATTCCTGACCATAGGCTCTGTTGGCAGGGGCCTCTGGGAACTGAAGTCCAGATTCTCCACCTCCAGGGTTGCAAATATGAAGGCCCAGGGGTCTGTGGGAGAATGCGGCAGCTGGTTTGCACTGCACTTTGGCCGTGTGTCCCAGCCGGAAAGCTACACAGGCTGCATGTGGGGAAACGACTGCGCCTGACTTGGCTCTGGCGGACGGGCGTTGCTTTCTCTCGGGGCACCCAGAAAAGGGCTGAGCTTGGGTGGAGGCTGCAGGGTGGCCGTTGTGTGTTGGTGTGTTACGGCAGCAAAGGAAAAACTCGCCATGGGATTGGATGCCCAGTTGATGCTCTCGCCTCGTTTTCTGTTTCCTAGGAGAAAAACAAGGTCCTCAGTTGCTCCGTGGTGGAACTGTCGAATAAGGTGGGTCAGCTGCAGGCCAGAGAGCAGGAGCTGCTCACCATGCTGAAGCTGAAGGTAATTGTATCTCTGCCTGGAGAGCACCTGCCCCCCAGGTGCATGTAGGTGTGATGCTGGCTCTTCACAAAGGGAGAGGTGGAGAGCGGAACAGAAGGAGCATCCTAAGCAGCCGGGGGGGGGGGGGGGGGGCTGTTCCACAGTTTTCCAACCCATGCAAGGCTGGTTCCGTTCGCCAGCAAATAAATAGAATGTGACAACATTCCGTCGTTTCTCAGCTGAAGAGTGCCAAACTGTGAGCTAATGATCTACATTTCCAAATGAGAGATTGTCTCTTTCAGAATTGAGCAGGCAAAATTAAAGATGCACAGAGGCCCAGAATATAAGGCAAACAATGAACAGATCTGTGTTTGTTTGTTTGTTTGCTTAGGATAATGATATACTTGAAGCAAGCAATCACATTACTGAATTTACATGTAAATTTAAAACATTAGAAAATGCTCTTCGTGCAGCAAAGATGGAAGAATCAAGCATCCACAGGGAAAAGCGGGATTTTAAACTGAGGCTGAAGGAACTTATGTTGGAAACAAGCAAATTAAAAGGTAAACAATCTTTAGAATTCAGTGCCCATAATCTTAAATCTGGATTGGAGGGCGGCAGTGCTGCCAGACAATAGGACTGGCCATCCAGCGATGACCTTTGAATCTTCATGGAATCCACAGCTCAATATAGGTGCCCTTTTCAGCGATTTGTCGCTAGTTCTGTTTGCACATAATGCTGACTCATGATGCGGGTTGTTGAAAGCTGCCTTGCCGTCTTGTGCAAACCCAGCCGCACTAACAAACCTTGGTTCATTAACCACAAGCAACCCAGAAGGACAACTCATCATTTATCGTTGAGTTGTGAACTCTGGGTTGTTTAAACCATGGATTGTCCTCATGTGGGAGCCAAGAGCCATGAGCTGTTCAGTGTTGTTTTGTCAGAGGCCGTGGCTAAAAGCAGTCAAAGAACACACACTGCACGGTGTGGGTGCTCCTGGGAACAGCAGATGCTCAACAGCTGTTGCTGTGGAGGGTGTGCCACACTTTGGATGTCACCACAGAAAAGACTCCGTGTCCGGATCTCACTGCCTCTCCTCTGAAGATGAGGAAGCCAGAATGGGCTCTTAGCAGATCTTAACAACTGGACAGGTTGTCGGGGAGCCAGTGGTCCTTCAGATTCCCTATGACATATGCCAAGTTCAACCCATGCACACACACAGAATTACACAAATACTTAGGTAGAGTTTTAATGGTAATACAGTAAACTAACGATAAGTTTAAAAATCAAGTGCCTGATTTCAGTCCTGAAAAATACCGTCTGTTGTCTGAATAAATGAATCCGTGCACTGCCTTGTGGTGAAGGAAGTCCTAGTGGACTGGTAGTTGTGTTATGCTAATGGCAGCTGTCCTTCTGCGGGGCCTTCCAGGAGTGTTGGATGCCTGCTCCCGGCCAGCAATACTTTGAAGGATGTGCTAACATTAATATAAGAAGAACTCAAGACTCCACTGCCAGAGAGCTTCACCTTGGCAAAGGTCCTGTTTTTTATCTTCAAGGTGATCTCAGTGAAAAAACAAAAGAAAACAATGAGCAGAGGGAGGAGATCATACGCCTCAAACAAGAAAATGATTATTTGAATACTGAATTGATGCTTAGTGGTGAGTAGACTGAAAGTGGACCCTGATCGCCACTCCGACTCCTGTCTGTTGCATTTCTAAAAAGTGTCTGTTGCATTTCTAGCAATGAGCTAGCAGGTGTGGTGTTGGATCTTTTGTGTGAGTGTGTTGGAAACGATATTGTTGGGAGTGCATTTGCAAGTGGTCATGTGCAGATAATGTTGACCAGACCTTCAGATAAACATGAATCTCGATATTCCGCTAGTTGGAATACATTTGTCCATCTGCATTTCTGAACCTCCCTTACGGTTTGCAGTGCATTTTCCGATGCGCTTCTAGCAGAAACTCCCCTTTTCCAAAGCTGTGAAGCCGATCGTCAAAGGCAAGACTTTGGGCTGTAAAGAACTGCCTTGACAGCTAGTGGCACGTGCAACATACGAGTCCCCAATATTCCTCAGAGCTTATTATGCCCACATACCTGTGGTTAAAATTACTGGGTATCTGAAAAACATCCACCAGCAGTCATTGGTTTGAGGACGATTCAGTTCCTGATCTAGCCTGGCGATTATACGACAAGCTACAACAAGTTTATGAAGTCATGAGTGAGTGGTATTTGCTCCAGACCTTGATAAGTTTGGCTGTCTAAATTACCCGGCTGCCCATCACAGACACAAACAGATAGTGGCTAAATTAGAACTGGAATCACATTGCCAAAATGGCATGAGTAATATTTACTACCTGTTTATGTGGGGAGGTTCAGGTTGCTGGGTGATTGTATGATTATAAAGCATCTTGGTATATAAAAACGATGGATTTTGATCTTGGTGTTCACATCTCTCCATTTCCCTTTTTTTTTTCCTTCTGGAAAATAACTGGACTCCTGCCGCCCTTAATAGCTGAGAGAGCAAGCAGAAAAGACCAGCTCCTCCAGTCTGCGAAATCTAAACAACTACGGACTGATACGGAACTGAGCAATTTGCGGCAGGTTTGATTCCTGTTTTTGATTATTTTATGGGGTGGGGAGTTGGATTTCTTTTGGGCTTTCATGTCACAATGTAGAATGGAGCAGAATTAAAGGTGGATGGAATTGACCGTCAGAATAATGCAGGTTGGACTTCTTTGAAGAACCTGTTTTCGAGACTGCATTCCAGCCTTGGAATTAAGTGAACTAAGTAAGAGGAAAAGCTGCAGTCAAATGCAGCAAAGCTTTCGTTGTTGTTGTTGTTTACATTTCTGTACTGCCGATAGCTGAAGCTTTCTGGAGGGTTCACAACAGGATATAAAAACAATAAAATGCAATGCACAAAACAGCATTTTAAACATTTTAAAATTAAATAAAATAGCATTCGATAGATTAAAATACCTTAAATAAAATGAAAAAGACCCACCAAAAAGAAAGAAGAACGGGCCCCTGGATGGCCAGGGAGCTCATCAGGATGTGCTTGGGAAAACTGCATAGCAATTTTTGTATTGTGTGATCTGGTTCATACAGTACAGCGACCCAGAGTACGGGTTGCGTGTCGGTTGTTGTTGAACAGAGGGTAGTTGCTGAATTGTGGCTTGTTGTATTCTGTGAACTAGGGAAGTGTGAGGAATCCTTCCGGGGGGTGGGAATCCATCGGATTCCCGGGCCTCAGCTCCCTGAGCTCTGGTCTGCCCAGACTTCCTGGCGAGGGCACCCAGTGCGCTCCTATGCAGAGTTAGGCAGAAGTTCGACAACTCCCAGGACGGTCTAAGCAGCAAAGGGTGACCCTGAAATACTGAGAACTTTATTAGTCTTACTTTTTGCAGGCATGTTGTCCGAAACATATACAAGAAGTGCTGTTTCATTTCTCTGTGGTTCTTGTATGATGTATGAAAACAAAATATAAGTACTGTTGTTCTAAAATAATTGACACTGTTCGGCAGGCTGACACAGGCCGTATTGCACTGTATGGGGCCATTGTTCAGATCCAGTTCCTTGGAGCCTGAAATTGTTTGTTTTTCTGCCGGTTGCTTTTAATTCTTGTAAGCCACTTTGTAGGCAGAAAAGCAGGATAAAAATACTAGATCAGCATCAAATCTTTGACCTTCTGAGGCCTGTTGGTCGTTTTGCCATTTGCTACCAGATCTACGTGAAGCAGCAGCGGGATCTGCAGTTTCTGCATTTCAACTTGGAGAGCTCACAGGACATGAAGCCGAAACCCGAGGAGGAGGGACATGAAGTGAGGTCTGTGTGCTGAGTGGCCTTCCTGAGGGGAATCCGCGTTTAAAGATGAGTTGTCTATAGTACACAGGCCGGGCTGGGCATGCTATTTCAAAACCCTGAACATCTGCGGATATCTGGGAACCCATCTTGAACATGGCTAGGAAAAGGGGAAGAATTGTAAGAACATACGAAAAGCCTTGCTGGATCGGAACCGAGGTCCGTCTAGCCCAGCACTCGGCACCCGCGGTGCCAAGCCGGCGGAGCTGGGGTCCCCCAGGCAGGGTGGCTGCAAGACCTCCTCCGCCCGCCCACGCTCCTCAGCAGCCGGTCCACGCAGGCCGGCCCCCCTGGAAGAGGAGGGAGCCCGTGGCCGGCAAGGCTCGTAGCCACGGAGGGCCTCCTCCCTTGCGAATCTGTCCAGGCCCCGTTTAAAGCCCGCCAGGTTGGCGGCCGCCCCCGCTTCCCGTGGCAGCGGACTCCATGGCTGAACTTCACACTGAGCAGCCAAATCCTTCCTTTTGCCTTCCTGAACCTCCCAGCCATGGGATGCCTCTGGGCTCGAGTGTCACCGGAGAGGGAGAAAAACATCTGCTCTGCTTTCTCCACACGCTGCCTTATTTTGAACACCTCAGATTCCCAAGAATCGGCGTCACATGGCAAAACACCTGGGCGAGCAGGTGTGTGGGGGTCTTCCCATGCATGCAGCTTGTCTAAAAAGTGGGGAAAGCAGGTGCACGCGTGAGACCTTGGGGGTGGGGGGTTGCCCCCCCCCCGCCTGCAGCGCAGGGGAGGAAGAAGCTGTGTGGGCTGAAACTCCCACCTTCCTTCCACTGTGTGGCTGCGCTGCTGGACCGTCCCTGTGCCAGGCGACCGGGAACGCTGCTGAAAAGGCCGTGGCTGTGCTGGAAGGAGGAAGCCGGCCAGACAAGCCGCCCAGCCGCTCTTTGCCCCAGGACAGCCGTGTGTCGTGGGGCAGGGACAGGGGCAGATGCAGCTGTGAGCCCAAACGTCAGCCACCTGCACCTGCCCTTTGCTGAGGCTGTTGCACCGCCTGTCATTTTCAGTGGAATGATAAAATAATTACCTTTAATGGCAGCTACCAAGTTCCTGAGGAAAGAGGGGGAGGTGTGGGGAGGGGGCTCCTGAGCAGCATTTGCTCTGGGGTGGTAGCAGAGCGTGTTTTGCAGATGAATGCGGTTCGACGTTGCACAGGAGCCCACCTGGGTAGAGAAGCAAGCCCTTTGGGGATCCAAAAATCAGCGTCGGTCTAGTAATAATGGCAGCTTACAGGCCCCTGGGAAGCAGCAGTGAAAGGCATTGCATTCCTAATACGAGCAGTACTGGAGATAAACCGGAGCGTGTGTGACGTCCTCGGTGCTGAGCGGTGGGGCTGCTGAGGGGGCTGGGTGACCCGAGTGGGAGCAGCCCACCCTCGTGGCGGGGGGGAGCCCCCTGCAGCAAGTCCCCTTTCTCTTTACGGACTCTCTTCTGTAAGAAGGATGGAAGCAGCACTGGAAAAACAGGGTGGTTTTGAGTGGAAAAGTCTGGAACCCCCCCCAGTAAACTCCCACAGTTGGAGTAGGGTGGAGGTTGCATAAATGTTTGTTTGGACGCATCCGGAGCCACACGGACTGCTGGATGCCCAGTTGCCGAGCAAAATTATGTAGAGGTTTAAGTCGTTAAGTAACCCGAGTTCCTTATTCTACCATTTATAGCAGAGGGATGGTTTTGTCAGATCTCGAGAGCAGCAGCGACCGAGACACAGTCTGTAGTGAAACCAGTGAGAGGAAGCCCACCTGGTTTGTGTCGGCCCCCAGCTGCAGCTTGACAAGGACCTGCCAGGCATGCAGGGCCGAGAGTAGGTGGCCAGCGGGGACCGAGGTGAGACAGCCGGCAAGCTTGGATCCGTTCCAGGAAGGGCCGGCTCACGGGGCCAGAGCTCTGCACGGGGAGGAGTCGAAGCAGAGCGGCTCCGTGCACGTGCAGGACACCAGCGGCAGGCCGGCCTCGCAGTCGGAGGGCCCGTGGAAGGCCGAAGACCGGGAGGCGGCCTGGGCCACGGCGCTACCGATGCATGAGCACTGGCTCCAGCTGCCTCCCTCGAGCTGCGGCGGGGGAGAGCCGGGCCCTGCCGGGTCCTGGGGCCGGCCAGGTCCCGGCGAGCCCCGCAGTCCGGCTGAAGCGCTGGAATCGGGCTGTGGCTCCCGCAGCTCCCTGCGCAGAGTCACACCGTGCCTGTCAGTGAGCGACCAGGAGTGGATGCGGATTTTCAAGCCTGTCCAAGGGGAAGGAGGCGTGTGGTGCAGAGCTTTCTCCAGTAGTCCGCAAGCAGCTCGTGGCATTCAAAGTGCCAAGTCGAAAAGGTTGGGTATTTTGCTAAGTGTACCGAATTAAGACTCTTCTCCCGTTAGCCACAAGCAGAACTCTTTTCGTGCACAGATTTGGAGTACCATGTAGACTAGATAGTAATTCTCAGGCGATTCGCAGCGGAGGGGAATTTTGTATTTTGGTTGCCTTTTGCCGCTGGACTTCAGTGCTTGGCCCAGAATCGGGCGCTGCGAGGCCAGAGTCTGCCCAAGCGGACCACCTGGGGCTGAACGTCCGAGTTTGAGTCCCGCCCTGGGCAAGCGCCAGCATGGAGGGGGCGGAGGGAAGTGGAGTCCGGCACCCGCTGGAGGGCCACCTGTTCCAGCCCTTCTGCCGAGCCTTCAGGCCAGCCGCATCAGCCCCTGTGACCAGGGAGCAAAGTCTGGCCTGGCTGGGCCTGGCATAAGTCGGAGGAGCCTGGCCTTGGCCCTTTCCTGCTCCACCAGCAGGTCCTGGGACCCGGAGTCCATCGGCACACGTCCAAAGTTACTCCTGGCTGCTGCGAAGCCATGCTAGAAGGATGAGGGGGGGAGAGCGGGGAGAGTGGTCTTGGCGACAAGCGCACGCCCTCCTCCCCAATTCCCCCGGGTGAACACCTGAGATTGATGGGCTTCGTGTGACCCTCGCACGCATGCGCTGGCCTTTTGAAAACGAAGTGACCTTTGTGATGCACGCACAGGCTTCCAAGCCCTCCTGCTGGGGAGACAGGTGAGCCTGGGGCCAGCCGGACAGGCGGGCGGAAGGCAGCCCCCGAGCTGCTTGCGGGGAATGTGGCTGGGGAGCAGCAGAGCTGGCCTGCCGTGAATTGCAGGACCGGCCCTTCCCCTCTCTCCCCCTGCCCCTCTTCATACACCAGCTGCAAATACGTTTGTCTCAGAGCCCGTACAGAAGTTCTGTGACTTTCCAGGCGCCTGCACCCTCCCTTTCCCACAAGGGCTGGTTGACATTTTGGCACTTGAGGCAGACTTCGCAAGTGCTGTGTCCAAGCAGGCCGGGGGGGGCGGTCCCAGCTTGCCGTGGGCTTTGCCAGGCGGGGAAATGCCCTCCGCCGTCCCCGTTTGCCTGGGACCGTTCCTGACCTGGGTGGATCACTGTTGCCAGTGGGTGCCCTGCTGGAACTGGAATTTTCCCTGTGGCATCTTTGCCCGAAAGAACAAACATGATCTTGGCTTTATATTAGTATTAGTCTCATATTAATATGTATATGAGGGGGTTGGCTGCTGGAGAGCAGGTGGACGCAGCCGTGGGAGGAGAGGCGGAGACGGATGTTGGCAGCTGCCATGGGGGGGGGTGCGTGTGTGGAGAGTGGCGTTGGGGCTCTGCTGGCTGCACAGCCATCTTCCACATGAGCCTGCCCAGGTTTTACCCTCAAAAAATAAAGCAAGCAAATAGAAGTCATTTAGTCTCCTGCAGAGGCATCTGTCTGCCCCACTGCCATTAGAGGTGCATTTGGTGGGGTTGCAAGAGAGAGGCTCTTTGGTGGTGGCGCCCAGGCCTTAGAACTCCCTGCTGGTGGCGGTGAAGTTGCGCCCTCTCTTCTCCCTCGACTGACAGGCTGAAGTTGTTCTTATTCCGGCTGCCCTTTGCATAGAGCGAGATTTTGGGCTGAAGGGCCTTTAAAATCGGTTAGTGCTGCTTGCTTTGTTGTTGTGTTTTCATTTATTTCTCTTCATGCTGTATTTTAATTAAGATACTGTTTTTAATCTGTATTGTGAGTTGCCTGAAGTGCCATTTCTTGGCAGAAAGTCAGGCTGTTAACGGAGCAAGTAAAGGGAGCCTTTGATAGGGCAAAATTGTGTCACGTCCTGTCCTGTGGCAATAGGAAGAATGTGACTTCTTTCCATCTTTGAAATATTGGAGGATGTGGAGCAATAAAGAAATTCTGTCGTCCAGTCTGTATGAGTGTGTGGTGTCGTTGCCCCTCTGTGGTGAGGGATCTTTGTGCATGCTCAGGAGCTCTCTATTGTTTCTTCCTGTTGTTCTGGCACTAATTTTACTGAGCTCCAGTTTGGATTCAAGAAGTAGGGGACTTTTTCGAGGGCCAGCCTCATCCAAAAGTGCACATTTTGCCATCGATCGGTCTGGCTCGTCATCCGCTCTGGCCTGTCTGAGTGCGGAGCGTTCCCAGTGCTGGGAGAGGCAGCTGAGCTGCGACACGACACAAGCCCTCCTTGTCTCCCTTTTGGCTTTTGGTGTGACAACTGGCAGCGGCAGTCCTGACTCCTGTGGAAATGCCATGAGCCGTTCCCTCCGGATGCAGCAGCAGCAGCAGAAGCGATGGGATAATCTCTACTCTGAGCTTTTTGACTGTGGTCAGACGTTTTGACTGTGGCAGCTTTTCTGCTGTATCTGTGCAATTCTCTCTCCCACCCACCCCCCCAGATGTTGACTAGGCCTGATGACTCTTTGAACACGGTAGCACTGACTGCCTTTGTCAGACCATTTGGCTGGGCTCACGCACATTTTTAAAAATAAGCCAGGTTGGAATCCCAGCTTCTGCCCTCATCAAATGCCCCCCCTCCACGTTCCGATCTGTGCTTTCTTCCATGTACATTTCCCTGGCCTGCACATCCAAATGAAGGACGTCAGTCTCGCTGGTGAGGCTCATGTCCTGCCTGGTGGCTTGTAGAAAAGGGGCCAAACGAAGAGGAGGATTATCGGCTCAGAGCTGAGGGCACCGAGGAGCATCGACCAGCTGAAGCCCAGGTTTCCTCAGATGGACCCGATGGCCTTCTGGGGCCCTTCCAACCCTGCTGTTCTATGATTCTAGATAACAGGAAGATTTTGTGGCTTGTGGGTAGAACATATTAGTGCCGTAGAAGCGGCTGCTTGCTGTGTTAGTCCTGAATTATGGACAAAGAATTCTCGAATTACGAAGCGATTGACTTGACTATCCCAGGAGCACAAAAGACACTTTCTTGGGAAGAAGGTTACACGCTCTCACAAGGCCATCCATCATCCCCGTTAACCATCTTGTTTTATGGCTTCCCCTCTCGCGGATGCCTTTGAGCAATCTGTCGATGTTTGCTTTATCTTTTAAGCAGCCTAGGTCACCTTAGTGAAGCTCACTCATTAATGAAGGACTAGCAGAGCTGCAGTGGAAACGGCCAGCGAAACGATTCTGCCGCCAGGTGGGCGGGTGGCTCCTGTGTCATGGCCACGGGTTCCGCCAGCATTTAGTCTGAATGCAATGCACTCTCCCCACCCTGTTCATTTTTTGCTTGTAATCAATACTGGTATTCTGAGCGACGCAAATGTCTGTAATCTTGAGTTTCATGTTTCCCAGGGTATTATGTTCAACCACAGAAAGAACCCGATCTGATGCTAGCTCTCAATTTTTTTGCGCCCTGAAAGTCGATAATTTGGCCATTCTAGTTGTTGAAGTTAGTGCGGTTCTAGAGAAGGCAACCACCGTGTGCCCTGGCAGGTTTCTGCTTTATGCGTATATAGTGACCTCGGCAAGGGTTGCCCCATTCATTTTAATGGAGAAAATGCTCTGCTGGAGTGTTGTGTGAACAGGCAATAGAGCCCAGCTGGGTCACCTGGTGAAGCCTTGGCAGAGTGCTTCCTGGCACAGTATTTCGATGGTCAGGGTGTGCAGCTGTTCCCAGTTTGGAAAAGGGCTCCTTGGCTGCAGGCCAGATTCTTAAATCTTCTGCAGTCACGAGAACCAGAAACTGTCTTTTTAAACGGAAGCTGGAAATTAGGGTCATTGGGCTGACACGAATCGCCCTTCCTTCTTCCATCTGCTAAGTATGATGCTGCATTGTGCCCTGTTAATTCTGTGGCCTTTTCTCAGAGCGCGTGCTGGAGGTGCTTTTCTTCAAGAGACTTTTCTTTCTTTTCGTTTAAATTGCAACGAGCAGCGACCATGACATCGGCCTGAATTTTTGGGACGTGGATGCTCCGTGCTTGACGTCGACACAGAAAACGAGCGAGCCCAAGAAGCACAAGACATTCCTCGACACCGAGGTCCCCTTGGAGCTCCTGGGGGCGTCACACATCCAGGAAGCCAGCGAGAGTGGCCACCCCTCCATCCACCACGTAAGAGTTCGGTCTCACGAGACCATCGGATTGGACTGGCCCTGAGCAGCCTGGTGGCCTGAAATCAACACATCCTCTCCTCTCGCGGCTTTTTGCCCCGGTCCCGGCTCTGCAGGCATCCTCAGCAGCTGGCCGAGGGATCCCAGCCCGGCCTTGCCCCAAGGCTGGCCCTCGAGTCTGCTGAGGCTCTGCTCCTGATGGGACCGCTGCCTTCCCACTTGAGTCTTTGATCTCACCTGCTCCCACCGCCACCTGCCTTTCCTGCTCGACATCCTGGAGGCGCATAGAGAAATCCCAGGGTTTTCTCTCGGATGTTTCCTGCAGCTAGACCTGCCTCATGTGCTGAACTTTTCTGGTAGTTTGCTAACGCACTGACTGGCTTGAGACCACAAGATAACCCAAAGGTCGAGTACGGGCTGAATGAGGGTTGTTGTCAAGTATGGTTCTTGTGTTGTCTGAACTGAGCTGTGATTACCACCCATGAGGAGAACCCATGGCTTATCGCTGGTTCGTGAACTATGGCTTGTTCACTGCAGAGTGTTATCTCAACTAGGTTCGGACAACGCGATGACTCGCATTTCAGCGGCAACCCACACTGAACCCATATCCAGCCTTTATCCAGCCATGGGTTGTCTGCATCTGTTTCTGTTCTGGTTCCCGCTAGGATTCCTGCTCGCCCGCCAGCAAGCTGCAGCGGCTTTTGGCACAGTCCCGGCAGATGGTAGCAGACTTGGACCTCAGCAACCTGCTCGGTGCCAGCCCTGGCCGCGGCCCCAACGGCAGCCTTCACATGGTACTTTCTGGTTTGTCTAACAGCTTTAATGATAGGGAGAATCACTGAGAATAGCCTTCCCCCCTCCCTTCTTTTCCCCTGGTCTTTACAAAAGAATGGCGCAGATCGATTTGGCTCTGAACCGAGACCTTTCTGTAAGTGAAGGGCCACAGTGAAAACGAGCTTTGCTCTACAGTTACGGAAGGGTGGGACTGAAATTTAAACAAAAAGTAGAAATAGGGAACAGTGTTCACATATGCTTAAGGCATGTACCACCCTTTCCCTTCGCGGCTGGATGGAAGGAAGGAGGTCGGTAAGCGGACTGGGCACCCCTCCTCCTGCCATGATGGTGAACTTAGCAGATCGGCCTTGGGGAACTTCTTGGCCTAAGTTCTTCGTCGGTGAACGGAAGATTGGATCTCTCCGACTTAAATCTCTTCTTCCTTATCTACTAGCTCTGCTGAGCTGCAGAACCCCGGCTGTGCTACTGGCAAGCACCTGGAAGGCCAGGGAAACATCACTTCTCATAATGCCGTCTATGCACAAAAAGAAGGGGAAAACAAGCAACTTGGGGCTCCCAACTCTTCCGTGCTGTTATGTAAACGAGTTGCAGAACGATTGGGTGGAACTGGTGCAAATGCAGGCAGCTACAACGTGAGGAGGCAAACTGCCCGAAGTCTTGCCCTTCCTCTCCCTCCCTCCTTTCCTGCTCTGTTTTACGGGCCATTGCAGAAATTTGGTCATGTGAAATGCTTTCAGAAATAGGCACAGAAAGGGGCTGTACCACCGGCGCATCGCGTAAGAGCAGAATATGGCTGTTTATCCCTAGCGTTGGTCACTGCTTGTTCCCAAAATGGCACCACTGGTTTTTACATGGCTGTTTTCATAAGGCTCTGCCGACGCTCTTTTTCTGTCCTTCGACAGGCTGTGGAATGTTCTGAAATGCTGAGCAAAGGAAGACTGCCCGTTGCAGAAGAAAGCGAGACGCAGCTCTCTCTCTTCTCTCTATGACCTCAGGTGAGTCACCCTGACTTTTCTGTTGATGTTTTGTTCGCAGAACAGAAATCCACTGTGAATGGAAAAAAACACATGGATGGATTGCCGTAATTATAAAGGGCCGGGTGCATTCAGAAAGCAGTACATTTTGTCTGACCTATGCAAAAATGATGTCCAAATAGTCCTTTTAAGTTTGATGCATTTCTGCCCTGGAAATTAAATTCATTTGCAGGTGAAGAAGAGGCAATATATGCGGAATACAACCCGAGTGGGAATAGCCCGCTCATAGGCAACCCAAGTATTGCAGTAGGCTTTGGGTCCCGGGCTGCTGAACTCCCTGGGCTCCGTCTGCGCCATTTGTGTCCACTGAATTGTCACGGCGGCACCAAGGACTGGAAAGCCCGTGCCAGCACTTGCATTCCATTTGCACCCAAGCCGTCTCACCATCAAGCCCTGTCCTTGTGTTCTGCCACGGCGCTAGTCTTGCGCTGCAAAGGAGGTTAGAAAAATACGAAAGGTGCTTGAAAAATGTTATGTTGAGCCTAGGCATCCCTGGCATGTCTCCTAACTTGCAAATCCTGATGTCAGCAGCCAAAGAGAAATATCTTTTGTCAACACAGAAACTCCTGCTTGTAGAGCAGTGGAAAGAAAAGTCACTGACCTGGACACAAAGGCAGCTTTGAGGGAGGCAGCTCATCCGGGGAAGTAAATACACTTTTAAAAAATTCTCCAGACATGCCTGAGGTTCTTACTGACAGTGTTTTTCCATAGGCTGAGAAACAGGATGGTCAGAAAAAAGCAAAACTTGAAACTGAATTGCAGTGTGGAGTTTCAACATGTTTTGCTTCCTTTGAAACTAGTCTTGGCTTTTTTTTTAACCAGCTGTCCCTGCATTTTGCTCACAAGAGCAGAGAAAATATCGTTGTAAGTGCACCATTCCTGAGGATGCGAGATTGATGGTGGTGTGGTCAGCATCAGTGGATGATCCCCCAACCTTCTCCTGCAGCTTGTATAAAACCCTGAAAACCTCATGAGCGAGCCAAGTCAAATATCTGGGACTAAATGGTGGGATTCATTTCCTAATCGTTTTTAAAAAAACCAGCTAGAATTATGCTAAACCATAAAAACGACCATGTAGCACATCTCTAGTTAAATTAATTGGTAATGTGTTTTTAGAAGGTTATTTAAATATGCAATTGGCTCATTCAAACATGATTTTTAAAAATAATTGAGGAATACATTTTCTGGGCATTTCTCTGTTTTTGTACATCAGATTTTACAAATATTTTTATATTTACACCATTAAGACTAAAGTGTTCTTTTTTATTCAGTGTCTTCTCCACTGTATCTAGTCATCTCTTCCATTATCTTTGAAGTGTTTCTGAACGGTGTAGTAACAAAGGAACAGTCTACACTTGGTTGAAAAATATGTGTGAGCGATTGTTTGCAATCGGGAGAAAAGCTTTGGGTGCACAAGAAGTTCTTCTGTGCAGGTCCAATCGAAATCAGCCAGAGCGATGCTCTTGCAGAGCTCCTGTCTGTGCAGAAGAGCTTCTTGCCAGACGCTGCCCCTGTGCTTGACGCTTCAGCGACTGCTTGTAACAGGAAAGAGTAACTTGCAGACTATTCTTATCTTAAAACAGTATTTTTATTACATGCATCTTTGTCTTTTCTGCTCCGTTTATCTCTGTGTAATTGACAATATTTTGACTATCATGGTATAACCTGCGCTAATAAACACGATGTTTCTTTTTTTAGACTTCCTGGGGCATCCTTGTGCATCTTTCACGATGAGCAGGTGTTCATTCACTTGGCTTTAATTCTCATCCACAGCGTTGCCTTCTGTCGTTTCCTGGGCCATATCTGCTGCCGTGGCCTCTCCCATCTTTTGCTGATGCTTGGCTGGCTATTCCTGGCCACCATCATATAGCAGCAGGAATCGGGAGATGGGCAGGCCCCTAGGAGCAGGAGAGAAGAGCAAAGAGGAGGAGGGGTGCTCTTCGGGGCCTCGGGTTGCCTCGCCCTGGGAAGGGCAGCCTCTGGCTGGTGGACCTGCACGGTGCTGGCCCTCTCTAGGTCCTGCCTCCCTCCTTCAAGCACTGCTGTAGCCACCGGGCGACTGTGCACAGAGGACTTTCCCCCACTTCTGTCTCAGAAGCGGGGTCAGAGATGTGGCCGGCAACCAACCCTGGGCAATGACGGCCTGCCACACCGAGACGCCAGCGTGGAGCTTCTCCCAGCGTTCCGAGTGGGAACTGGGAGTGAGAGCAGTGTGTCGACTGAACCTTTTTTTAGCCCTGTGCTTGGAGTGACACAGAGGGAGCCCCTGGCTCGTTTTCTCTCTGTTTGGTGTGTGCGGAGGAGGCGACAGCGCTTTTGTCTGACTCCGAACATTTGTCAGGCGTCTCTCCATGCGCCCTCCCCGCTTCAGCTGGCTAAGGATGGGGGTGTCCTTTGGAAGCCCTGCAAAAGAGGGTAGAACCAGCTGCCTTGTTTTCACATACTTCGCCCTCATTCAGGGAAAACAAAGCGTGCATTTAATTTCGTTCTGCCTTTGGGCAGGGTGTGTAGGCTTTTCCCCACTCCCTGTCTTGGTGTTAATTAGGAGGTCAAGATTCAAGAAAGGAGGGGGCGCAGCCTTTCCCTTCCACGGGATTGTCGACCTGGAAGGGGCCCTTGCGGTCATCCAGTCCAAGCCCTCTGACTGCAGGAATCCCGTTGGAGAGACGGCCGTCCAGGTGCTGCTTGAAGACCTCCTGCAAAGCAGTGCCCACCTCCAGGAAGCAGGTTCCGTTGCTGAACTGCTCTTCTGATCTCCAGTTGGCCCACCTATATTTACCTTCCTGCGGCAGGCCTTGCTAATTTTAGTCCTGATTTTGGAGACAGCTGGGTGCAGGTGCTTCTCTTTTTCGATTTTCGTTCCTCAGGAATTGAAAGAATGCCTCTGCCCACTCCCGTCTTCCCTTCTTAAGGCTAAACATATCCAGTCCCTCCAGCCGCCCCTCGCAAGCACTTGTTTTCCATACAGATGCCCATCTTTATTGCCCTCTTCCAAGTTGTTTATTTCCCTGCTAAAGCACAGAACCAGAAGTGGATACACTATTCCAGGAATAGTGAGGAATATGTGATACTGTGGAACTACTTCTTCCTGTGGCTTGGACTCCTTGATGATGAGGATGATGATGATGATGATGATAATTCTAGCAATACAGCCTAAAAGCCACACTGGACTCTCTTCAGCCACCTCTCACTGTCGCCTCTTCTCCAGTTTGGGACTGACTACAGACCAGAAATCCCCCATCTGTTAATGTGGGGGTGAAGAGCTGGTGGCATTTCAGTTCTTGATCCGCAGCTCCCATTATAAGAACAGATCCCAAGCCTTTTAAAGCTTTTAAACATACCACTCTGCAAACCAAGGTCTCCATTGCTGAAGAGCACAGGCCTGTGAATCTCTCCAAACCTATACTTCAGCTCACCTTGAGGTGTTTACAAAAGGGCAAGTCAAGTAAATAATATATTTTTGTAGCCCTGTCTTAAACATGTTGGATTTCAGTGTGAATTGGCTGGCACTTGCAAGTTACAATGTGTCAATCTCCACTTTAAAATGCTCAATGAGCTTATCCAGTAAGGTCCAAGTAAGCCGATTTGGCTGTATTTAAAAAGTCACAGTAGCAGGTGTTTTTTTTGTGTGGTTCCCTTGATGGGAGCCAGTCTGAATAACAATACATTCCATTAATCTTGCCCTCTGCTCTACTGCCTTGGAGGTCCAAGAGAAACAAGATGATAGCACAGTTAAGTGGGGAATAATTGCAGGTTTCTAAGCATCACAAGACTGTTCACTGGGGGGAGCAGGAAAGCTTCAGGTGACTAGCTGTTCTAATTAAAGCTTGGAAACATGTAAAATTATTCTATAAATAATGCACCAAAAGAGGGTCAGTAGAGAAAATAAACATACTATCAGGCATAAGACAAGTCCTGCTGAATGAAGCCTGCAGACCACTTGTGCCTAGCCCTGTCCAGCACTGGAGCATGGTCCCCAAAATCTTCAGCCCTTGGGTTGAAAGAGTTCATTCTTGAGCTGGACTACTTTCAGGCACAGATTAACTGCCCTTTGGGAAAGGAGGAGTGAGAATAAAATGAGTTGACACAGAGCTCATCAGGGCCTACTCCATTTCGACGGCCCCTCTTGGGAGATGAAAGAAGCAGGGTCTTCCCACCACCCTGCTCACATGCTGCTTAATTTTTCCTCTTCCCTCCGCCTCGCCCTTTCCTTGTGTGTCGTGACATTTTCCCCATAAGTCCCTCTGGGAGTCTCTCTCAGCTGAGGAACTGGAGAAGAATATCGTAAATGCATACATAAATGTACTATATGGGGCGCAGACCTAGCACCCGCCTTGTCCGGGCAGCGGGCCGGTGCTCCGGGCCGGTGCGAGAGCGGCGGCGCCGCGCGCACGGCGGCCGGCGACGGCCTCGGGAGGGGGCGGGCCCGCGAGCCGGGGAGGAGGCGGGGCGGGCGTCGATTGGCCGCGCGGCAGGAGGGAGCGGCGCGTCCTTCGCCTTGTGAATGGCCGGGACGGCGCGTGTGTAGCGGGGGCGGAGCGGCAGTTCCCGGCACGCCCGCCGGGGGCGCCCTGGCGTGCCGCCCGCCCGCCCGCCCGCGGCGCCTCTTCTCACTCCGAGCGCGGCGGGGATGAGGGGCTGAGCCTCGCAGGCCGATCCGCAGCTGGGGCCGGCGGAGCAGCGCGCCGCGGTCGCAGCAGCAGCAGCAGCGAGGCGGCAGCGAGGCAGCAGCAGCGAGGCGGCCCGGCCCGACCCGGCCCGGAGCGGAGCGGACTTCCTGCTGGGCTCCCCGCCGCGCACCATGAACACCATCAAGAACGTGCCCGCCCGGGTGCTGAGTCGCCGGGGCGGCCACAGCCTGGAGGCGGAGCGGGAGCAGTTTGACAAGATCCAGGCAAGGCGCCGCGGCTGATAGTTCTTCGTCTTGTGCGGGGGGGGGGGGCGCGGGGGGCGCCGGGGGGGGGGGGGGGGGGGGGCGCGCTCCTGCATGGCAAGCCCCCCCCGTGCCTTAGGGGAGGGGGGCGAGGAGGGAGCGCACGAACGCGTGCGCGCCTCTCCCCGCCCCTCCCCCACTCAGCCATCCCTGCAGGGCTGACAGCCACCCCCCCCGGGCAAACCACCCCCCTCTCTTCAGCCCTCCCCTTCCCGGGGTCTTTGGGGAAGCCGCCTCCCTTCGCCAGGGAGAGTGGGGCATCTCGTCAGCAGGATCCCATTGAACCGTGCGCTTCGCCCCCCCCCCCCCCCCCC